TTTGTCTTATACAAAAGTTCTAGATTCCAAGGGATTAGATATTTGACTTAAAGCTTGGATTTGATTGGTTAAACTAAAATGTATGAAAGATGACTGGCTAGACTAAGTCTAGTGATGACTTAGTGGCTAAGAAGCTTGTAGAAGTTTAAAAGTTTCCAATGGCATATCGCCACCTCAACCTTGGATTCCGGAAACTTCTAGAATGTTTAGCTAGACCCATGGCATGTTGCCACATAGAGAGTGTTAGTCAAACTTACCTAGGTAAAAGTAAGTTAGGAGAAATTACCACATGTTACTATGGTAACTTCTCAAGGAGTATAAATAGAGAGGTAGAGTATCAACTCTCCAGAAAGTTTGAAGAGTCATGTGTGAGGACTTGTTTCAGGAATGAAAGAGTGAATTTTTTGAGTATCTTGGAGTATCGACGTGTGTTTGCGTTTATGTGAAGAGAGTGATGTGAGGAGAGTTTGTGTGTGAGTTGGAGTGATACATGGAGAGTTTTTGAGAGAAGATGTTTGGGACATTAGTGTGAGGATGAATCCTAGTCTTCTAGAACCATGATGCGCTACCGCAAAGCCATCAGAGGTAAACCTGATTGAGAGTCAGCCCAAAGGTTGCAGGCCGCTGGTGGATCGCTCCGCACCTCCTCCTTTCTCCTAACGCGCGCTCCGCCTTCGCGGCCTTATTGCCTTCGCTCCTACCCTCCGGTGCGGCCAGCGGGATCGCTCCTCCGTGCGCTCCCTCCCTGCCCTAGCCACTTGGCTCTCAGCCCTCGCTCGAGCCCTGTCGATCGGGGCTTGGACCGCAGCGTTGCCGTTCCGTCCTGCCACTCGGCTCGGAGGGACGCGGTTCCGCCACGCGCCACGGGGAACTAAAGAGAGAGAGGGATGGCTGCCTGCTCAGCCCCCTATCTTCCGTTTGGAGGGCCTCGCCGCTCGGACACTCCAGCCACCATCCACGCCGCTGCTCGGGGCTGCCACACGGCGGGCGGCCGTGTTGGGGAGGACTTCGCCACTACCTTTCTCCCGACGCTATTCCTTCTTTGTCAACTTTCACTTTCGGAGATTATAGAGATAATATCCAACAAGACGAGCTGGAAATCAACAAAATCTGCACAAGATCTTCGAGTCAGCTCGAAGTTGAAGTTGAAACTCCAAACCATTGTAAGTTTCAAAACACTCTCAAACGATTTCACTGAAACCTGCTCTCGAACTTCTACTGAGAAATTTTCTGACAGTTTCTATTAAACTTCAAGATATAAACTCAAAGTTCTAATGAAAACTTTGTTGATAGTTTTTGAAAGGAAAAGAGAAAAGAAAAACAACAAAACAAGTGCACTAATAGTTTTTTGTCAAAAACTTCAATAGTCGAACTGCTCTTGAACTTGAGATGAACCAAGTTGAGAAAAAGAACTGTCAGTTCTCTTGGAGTAAAATCTCTGAATTGTTCGACTCTGAATCTATCATAAACTTCCACAAAAGGTTAAATTAAATTAAATTAATATTTTTTAAAAAAAAAACCCTGGCACTGGAAAAGCCCATCAGATTTTGACTGTAAAAACTGTCACTGAAAATATACGTCAGATTTTGACAGAAAATACTGTCACTGAAAATACCTGTCAGCTTTTGAGAGAACTCTGTAAGTGCCAAACACCAAAAAACTGGAAAAACAGAAAGAAAAAAAACTCACAACTCCAAAGACATTGAACCGCTGGAAAAACTGTCACTACATTTGGTCTCATAAAACTTCTGTAATCACCTTCAGGGGAAACTGTCTTTGATAAAACCGGAAGTTGACACAAACTAAATCAATTTTTTGACTACAGCCTCAAAATGAAAAAACCTTATGACATACAGTCCGAACCGGAACCGGCTATGATACCAATTGTTACGCTAAATCGCTCAGACTAGCAAACCAACAACACAATGAACACAGAGACACAAGTACAACGTGGTTCATCCTCAGGGGCTACGTCCACAGAGGAATACGCTCGAGAAAGTTTACTGCTTCAAGTGAAGTCCTCGTATCATTCTCAGGGTATATATATCCAAGATAGTCAACCACTCTAAGCTATAAATAGCTACATGTGCGGTAAACTTGGTTAACTAACCTCAGTTAACTTTTAACTGAGATTAACTCCTTAATCAGAGTTAACCTCAACATAAATGATAGTCTTTCATTCATAGATTTTTTTCAATAAATATAAAAAGTTAAGAAGATCATATAATCAACATCCTTTGTGAATTAGTAATATGAAAATGACACATATATCTAAAAATCATACAGATTATTGATATGTTACTCTCAACTAACACAGAAATTACTACATTCAATCTTTAATCAACAAGCATACCTATTGTGAATTGATATATTGGCATTTCAATTCACCATATATTAGACATATCTAACAAATATATGGATTGTTGATGTGTTGTTCTTAACTAATACATTAATTAACACATTCAATCTTTAGCTAACAAGCACATGAATCGTTAATGTGTCGTCGTCAACTAACACATTTATTCTAGACCTATTAATAACATGTATTGCTTACATGACAACTGTAGATAATTTACTATAATGCAACTAAATCATCATTTTCAATTACCTCTATTTTACTTTCAACTAATTAAAAATGATTATACAAAAAAACTCTAAACCCATGAAAACCTAAAAGTATTATCAATAACTTTTTGGAGCTTTTTATTATAATGACCATGTATACTAAACATTAATAAACATTGAACTAATCTAGGTTAAATATACATAAATTAAATACTAACAAATCTAAAAAATTGCAATAAATTTTTAGAATTTAAAATGATTATATTTACATGAAGATTTGACAATCAATATTTTATAATCAAAATTTGAATTTTTAAACATATTTTTGTAAAATTTAAAATTGTTAACAAAATAATATGAAATTTATGACAAAATTTGTGAATAAAAATTTGCATATGATTTTTTTGTGTGACGAAAGATTGTTTAAAAATTACTATTAAATGAAAATTTACGATATATTGTTCAAAACAAAATAAAAATAATTTTTTTGAGTTTACTACTCAGTTTGACAAAAAAATTAATATATCATATTAAAGTTTAAATATTTAAATTCAAGAGATTTTTTAGGCTTTTAAAAAATTTGTTGAAGTTTGTTTGTGTTTAATACTAGCTAAAATAATGATTATATATATATATTTATATATTTATATTTGGCGAAATTTTATTGGAATTACTTTTAAACAAGGTTTGAGTTTAAGACAAACCATAGTTATATCAGTTATAAAAAGTAAACCTATCAAAAAATTAATCAATTTTAACTATCAAGTTTATATTTTTGAAATAACAAAAAATCTTGTAGAAATTGTGATTGAGTAATATTATATTGTCGAAGTGTATCAAAGTTTAGAGATCAAATTAAGGAACACTTTGACTATATATTTTTTTTAAGTTATTTAATCAAGAAAAAAGATTATTATTTAGAGTAAGTCTAAATTTGAATTAGTGACAAGTTGAGAATCTAAAAATTTCAATGACTCCAGTATCATGTTGTCATCTCAACTTAGTGAATTTTTTTTTGGAAAGATCTAAATTGATCAATGACATGTCATAATGTAATCTTATTTATAAAAATTAATTATAGTAATATTAAGTAGTAATGATTATGATTACGGCTAGATAAGAGTACTACAAAAAAGTTTTTTTAAGCATTTAGTAGATTATTTTTTTATGAATTTTTGATCAAAAGGATTAAAACACGTACTTTTGTGAAGTTTCTTGTAAAAACGCTTGGCAAAACTCTATATTTGACAACGAAGATGCACATTGAAAGCAAAAATTGACTCTATTCTTGAGAAAAATTGAAACAAGATTCTTTTAATTTCCAAGTTTTAAGCATGTTAACATGGATGATGAACATACATATTTAAGATAAGATTTAAGATAAAAAATATTTACATAAACCTCCAACAGATATATTTTGATATCAAATCAAAATAAGAAATTTTCATTTCTTTACATGATAAATTTTTATTATTTTTTCAAAATAATAATTTTTCTAGACAGATTTGATCTTGCTGCATTGTAGAAATTCTACCTCTATGCATATTCCTTCATATGCAATTTTTCATTTTGTTTCACAATTGCATTTTGACTCCAATGTTTAACTTCACAAATGGCATATTGTTAGTCATATTAGAATTATTTATATTGAATGATTAATAGAAACATACAGAATATTTCAGGGTTCATACAGAATATTTTTCTAACCTTCCAAGTACTTGTCAATGGTATGCTTCAACAACATCAAATACATAACATCACTTTACTCATTATCTCTCTACTAAAACACCACCATCAGTAAACGGTGTAGAACACTATGTGAGAAGCTCTTCTTTTGTCAATCACTTTGTTTTCAATACATGAGAGAAGGATGAAAATCGTTGATTTCTTCTTGATGAACTCAATCTTTGAACCTTAAGTTCGTTAGTCATTTGTATCATCAGTTAGATGAGTTGATTTAAATGACATCACATACGATTCAAAACAACCATACAAGTTTTATGTCGTTGTTAACAAAGTTTCAAAGCTATAGGCTTCCAATACTTTGTCTCTGCAAACAGAAATGAGCTTTAGATCTTCGAATGTGTCATACTTCACATTTCGTCGACTGCATGCTCGTATTTTTATCACGTGTGATTTATTTCGAAGAATTATGATGAAGTATACATTCTACATCAAGATCCTAGATTTCTTGTATGAAGTGCACACTTTCCCCACAGAATTTGGTTTCATTAATATTATCATCTCTGGCATCTGGCGCCCTAACCATGTTAAACAATATACTGCGAAATACAGAAGAGGAGGACATTCTAAAGTAGTGACAACAGGGCGAAAATGTCCTCTAGCTTATGGTAGAAGTCTGGAAGAAATATTGTCCCTTAAGCTACAGAATGTTATTATACGTGCCAGGGGTTTGCTTAGGGTTAGAGTTTCCCAATTCTGTGGAGGTTCGCTCCGTATTGAGTCACGAGCTCTGTTCAGATTTCTTCGTGGGGAGGGAGAGTGAGAATTTGAAGGACAGAGGAAGAAGTCAGTGTTGATCCACAGATTCGATTTCAAACTTCTGAACAAGCGATCGTCAATTTGCCCGCAATGAGGGGTAATCAAAAGTATCAGAAGGATGATGTTGCTCTGTCCTTTGAAACCGAAGCTGGTGCTCCACATTACCGGAGTAGTCGGACTGCTGGAATTCCTCAAAGATCGATGATGGGGGGCCCCGGGGGGAGCAACAATTTGCAATTTATGAATTTCGATCTAGGTTCAACTTCGAATTCGGTTCCTCCTCCAAGAGTTTCATACGGTGGTGGTGGAGCAGGTGGATTCGGTGCATTCGAAGATGAGCCTCCTTTGCTTGAAGGTGGGAACTGAAATCTGTGCAATTTGACTTCGGAACTTCGCGATATTCACAGTTTGATAGGCTTAAAATTGTACGGGATCGCCCTTTAATTTTCCCATCAGGGGCGTCTGTGATCGGATTTTTAACTTCTTGTTCGTGGCAATCTCAGAACTCGGTATCAATGTTCCTCAAATTATACGCAAGACCCTCACTGTCTTGAATCCCCTCCGAATAAATCCCGACCTTCACGAGGATGCCGATCTATCAGGACCCTTCATGTTCTGCATGTTATTTGGACTATGTCAGCTACTTGCTGGAAAGTTTCACTTTGGTATCATATTAGGGTGGACGTCATTGGCGTCGTTGTTCTTGTATGTGGTCTTCAATCTTTTGGCGGGCAGGAACGGCAGCCTTGAACTTTATCGAGCGTTTAGTTTGGTGGGATATTGTTTACTTCCGATGGTCATCTTCTCTGCCTTGTTCCTGTTCGTTCCCCACGGGTAATATTTTCCATCCCTCCACCCTTCTTCACTGCAAGCTACCAGTGAGCTAAACTTAAACTCGCTGGTCCATTTCTTGGCAGATCTGGTTTGCCAATGCTTCGTCTAACTCCCTGTCACATTTGTGCCTATCTGCAGGCGCATAATTACCTTCATCATGTCCTCTTTAGCAGTTGTTTGGAGTACACGAGCTTGCACGAGTTTGTTGGTGGTACTTTTTCCTACAGCAGATGAGCATCGGTCTTTGGTAGCATATCCCTGTGGATTGATTTATATCGCTTTTTCTTTGCTCGTAGTTTTTTGATTCTCTTCGTGGCCAGCAGCTGCATCATTCATCCTGTCATTACAATTCATGAAAAGCTTACATCACAGAAGATGTGAATGAGAACTTTCCAGAAGATTTATCACACAACTATGTTCAGTCCATGTGTGAAGGATTGATTCGGAGGCAGCTGATTTAATATCGTATGTAAGTGATCCGAACAGCTACCCTTAGTTTACATCCAAGCTCCTTCATCTGTATTTTGTATCTGTCTACCATGGCAAACGTGTAAATTTGTTTCTCGGTTCGAGCTTTGCCTCGGAGACTCGGTGGCCTTCAGATTGGTTGCATGTATCTTTTGTCATGGCTCAATTGTGGGCTCAGTCGTGTATTCTACTTTTCGTGCAACTTGTCATGGGAACCTACCAAATTTTCTCCTTGAGTAGAATGTGAGGAAGGGCTTAGTCGAGTCAGTCAGAATCATTTACGTCGTGAGTTTCTGGGCTGTGCTTACTGATACTGATAATTCCAGGACTTCACAAGGGTAATTTACTGTGGATCCTGACGATGTACATGTACCAATAGCACTGGTGACATCTTCAGTTCATTATTTACTGTCAGTCTGGACATATGGAAGCGTAGCTGCTGAGATGTCATTTCATCATCTCTAGGGCATTAGTTGAATGAAAGTAAGGTTCATAGTGTATTTCTTTCTTGTTGGGTGTTCTTATGGCAGCAGTATCCATCCTTTTGTCGACGTTGAAGTCCAAATGTGTAGCATTACGTTCAGTTGATATTACGTAGACAAGAAAGATGAGGTTCTAGTAGTAGCAAGATCAACAGATTTCTCGGCCAGATTCTGTGCAGAATTATCTTGCTCACTTTACCACTTCGACCTTGTATGCACAGGGTTGGAACTACCGTGCACGGATCGCTGACTAACGTAAAGTAGCTGTTACTTGGTATTAGCTGTATTTGGATGGGACTCGTCAGTCTGAGTACCAGACAGCGTCCTGGAGGATGATACTGGTGAGTTACAAAGAGGAAAAGGAGGGAAGAAATTTCTCCACTTTTTGTTTGGTGTGTGTGTAGAGTTCGTGTTACTGGAGCAGCGCCTGCTCTTAAGTGACAATTAGTAACCTCTAACTGAATGACTGTAGTTCTTCCAAGCCGGTACCTCTTTGCAGTGAAGAGGTTATGAAGTTAGCCATATGAGTGGCACAATTATGGCTTGAATGTTGTGTTAACTAAGGTGCTTGTTATTGACTGCTTGCATCTGCTCTTTTGTGTAGGATGGATTCTCGACTATTCTGCGTCTAACCTGACTTAATTCACTTCCTACCGTGCCAGAGAATTAGGACATTAGTGGTGTTTGACTGAAAATATCCATGAATCCACTGAAAATTCCTTGAATCACTGTGTGAGAACATGAAAACCTCCTCTGATAACCCATAAAGACAGATCAGTCTGAATTCTTGGGTGAAAAAAGTGAACTTCAATTCGATCTCCTCAAGATGGTAACGGCTGATCCTCCGATAATTTGTATCGACTTATCGGAATAGTGTTCGAATATTTGATATCTGAAACTGAACGAAACATGCTCATGCTCTTGCTCAGTGATTTATTCCAATTAACACCTAATAGTTTTAGTAGTATATGACGCCAACAATTGCGGGTAGTGAAAGCAAAACTTGGCAGCTTGCTGGTCTGCCCTGAGGTCACAAGTAGTATAGGTATTACCATAAGAATGCTCCACGTAACTTTCCTGTTATCTGTAATAGCGCAAGGTAAACTAGTTTGATAACGTCGAGAAGAGAATGTAAGTAGATAAATGAGAAATATGACTCGCTCACACAAATCAGAATCTTAGTAGGAGGTTGGAAGACAATGATATAAAACTGGATGATTTTACTGTCATATTCAGTGTTGTTAAGGCAACTATTTCGTACAAGAGTTATATGGTCTGGGACACACCCAAGCTTTTGTGTGATTGGAGTTGCGTCCCAAGCCCTGTAAGTTTTATCGCCTCTGTTTTGAAAAATTTTTGTCGAAGGAAACGATGTATTTTGTATTATCATCATTGATCACAAAGTTCAAAAGATACGGTGTCCGTCTAAAATAATGAGATATTCAACCACTTAATATCAGATATCTTCCTAAATAATTCTTTGTGCCTGTCTTATTCTGGACGAGTAGTGACTTGTAAATCATGAATCTCTCGAGGCCTTTGCACAGTAGGATCACGTAAATTTCCTGATTATCACAACTCCAGGTCTACTGTATATACTAGCACAGAAGTGAGAGTAGATGTTTATGATCATTATAGGGCCACATGTATATGAAGTTGTCTCCACGTAAATTACAGTCCTTTGATGATGAAGATATGATACTTGATGAAGTCATAAGTTACTATCCATCGCAGTGTTACTCCACACTAGCTAGTGTAGAGTAACACTAGCACCGTCCTCCCAGCAAAGAAGCGTTATCAAGTTTCGTACCAATGCAACATTTCTGGGCAGAAACAACATAGAGAACCTAACGTGTCAAACAATTAAAATAAAAAAAAGTTAAAACTTTACACCCAAAAAAGTAGAATAAAAATATGGAATGAGTCCAGCGCAGCCAAATTCTTGAAATGACCAATAGGACAAATACAGTCTAGACAGATCACATACAAACTACTCATAGAACACGGATTGAATCATAAAGAGGTATGATACAAATGAAGAAAGAAGAGATCTTTCGTCCTCGAAGAAGTAATGCAGTTCTTCAAAGCTAAGGAGATCTTAGTTACAACACTCATTACCTTGTGTTTACATATTTATGGATGTGGCGGAGTTAATAGCTAGAAAATTCGTAATATATAAAAAACCTTCCTCAAGTTGAGATCATGACATACTCTCTATTGATTAGACTTAAACTATAAGATTTATGATCTCCTATTTTGACTTTGTTGTATTATACAAAACCTAAATCAAATACTTATATTAAATTGGAAGTTCTTAAACACATACCTTCAGCACAAATGATTGAGATAGATACTCATAGTAAAGTAATGTGTTGCATATGCATATATAATAAGTATTGTCAAGTATCTTGATAATAATGCAAGTACACTCATGCATGCTTGTTTTTGTTGTAAAGGTATAATTTCGTAATTATTAGTGGTCAGCTCCTAGTTTTTTGATTTTCAAACTTACCTATTTAAAAAACCGAATGAAGTATTAGAATTGCATAGTTTCTCCAGCTTCATCGATAATAATGTGTATATTTTACGATATATGATCTAATCCTTAAGATTAACTCGATTGTAATGTATCATATTATCATTCATTCATCATATACATAATTGCTTAAATCAACTAAATTCATTGTTGTTGTTTTGAAAATCTTAATACTATATACATGCAAGGATGATTTGTTGAAAATTTCAAAACAATTTTTTTATAGAATAGAAAAATAGAAATTAGCCAGTGCAAACAATCCGTGACAAAGAATTTTGTTGATAAAAAAGATAAATTTGACGCTATGTCTATCTAACTATGATATCACAATCAAAGTAAATGTTGGACTATGATATTAGTTGGCTTAATGAATAAAAAAAAAACATATGCACAGTGATTAAAAAGAAAATTCAAGTCAAAACACAAGTTTTTATTTGAAATTTTATTTTTAAATGTAAAACTCTTGATATGATGACTTTGAATACAACAAAAAATATATTTGTTGCTTGAGATATCATAAATTAACATTTGGAAACAAATTTTTTACTTGAATCATATGATATATTATAGTTTGAAGTACGTAAAATCAAAACATTGTATTAATAATTTTTTTAAAAAATGAAATTAAATCTAAATTTTAAGAGATAAATAATTTATTATTTACATGTCAATATTATTATTACTTGTGATAAAATTTTAATTTTAATAGAAATAAAAAATAAAAAATGATGTATTCAAGTAGTGATACTACTTTTGTGCTCAATAAATTATCTGACTACCTACATACAATCTAGATTGTTATTAGAATTGTGTAAATCACATGAAATTGGAATAAAAAATTTTGTTTATTTTTTCAAAAATGTGTTGTTTTAAGCTTAAGCATTGAGACAACATTTCAAGGATGAAAAACTTGGATGAAATTAAAATGTAATGATATTGTTGTCATAAATGTGCATGATAAAACAAGAAGCAATCAATGAGTATTCAAAAAGCCAAAAACCAAAATGATATATTTTGAAACTTTAAGATATCATGCATCAATATTTGATTGAGTAAGTTTTTTTTGAATATAGATAAATACTCAAACTAACATTCTAATAATCTTTGGATGTGGTTTTTAAATTTAAGCAAATTTAAGTGTACAATAGATGATTTTCTACTACTATTTTAATATGTAATTAGGAATTTCACAGTACATAAACACAGAGAAAAAATTATCATGGATATATATTGAAAAATTGACTATTTAACGCAACGAGTCTCCATCTCACATTAGATAGTCTCTTGACTCTCAGATAATATGGACAATGTTGAATACTCTAATATTATGAGCTCAAATTCGAATCTCAGACATGGATTCACACTAATAATCTCTACTTTAACACATGAACTCTAGTACATCAACCTACTTTACTTATATAATTACTTTGAGGAAAGTACTAGAAGGAAACCTAACAAAAGACAACTCTTTAAACTAGAGTTAATTAGGAAAAAACTGTTGTAAAAAAATAATAGAGTAAAAAATACATAGGGGTAACTAAAATGCTAGTAAACTCTATTTATGCTCCTCATTGAACTACAATGTATTCTAAAACTATGTAAAAACATAAATTTGATTCATGCATCAATTCAATTGAAATTATTGTTAATTTTGAAAACTTCAATCTTTTATCAAAAAATATATGTTTGATAGAGTGATATTTGATGTTGATGTGCTTCATTGTGCTATCCATCACTTGACTTGGAGTAAGATGAAATATACTCTGGCTATCAAAGTGAAGATTGACAACCTCATGTTTCAATCCATCTCAATAATAAGATTATCCAACCAAATATAGTGGAACCTCCAATAGCGAATACCTTTGGGACCGCATAGCAGGTATTCAGTATCAAAGGTTATTACCTAGTAGAGCTAATGCTTGGGAAGCTGTTCGCGGCCATGATAACGCTTTGAGAGTCAAATGGGCCTCAAAATTTGCGATGCTAGGACGTCTACTTGGTAGTGCGCGGACTCACTCGTAGACTCAACCACATCTTCGCCACTATCTTCCACGTCGGAACATTTACTCTGCTGTAGCATCTGCTTGGTCGGGCACCTCCACTGAGTCATCTTCTCCGCCGCTCCTGCTTCACAAAGTTCTATGAGCATCATGTCTCCGAAGAAGTTTACCTACACTATGATGACGGACAAGCAGAGGATGACTCTTGTGAAACAGAAATAGAATGAATCCTGTATGACTCACGAAGACTTCAGTTCTTGGGCAGAGAAGCACCTTGACATGAAAGTCAGCTAGTTGACCATCTCAAAAACACTGGCAAGGTCGGCAGAATTGCTTGCCAAGGGAAACAATCCTATGGATGTGAAGCGATAGAATGTTGTAAAGTATTTGCTGATAAATATGCACTTTACGAGTGGTTCATTACTTATCAAGCTCAAGTGAACATGAGCGGTGAGCTGCTGAAAGCTCAAGGAGTCTAATTTCTGAATGAACTTTATCCAGAAGCGGAAAAATTCAAATCTTCTAACGGATAGCTCGAGAAGTTCAAGGCTCGCTACAGAATCAAATCCTTTCGCCGCTTCGGAGACAATGGCTCTCTTGACATGAGTGTTGTCGATCAAGCTCTTCCTCAACTTCGTGAACTACTTGATCCACTTCCATGGGCAGACATCTACAACATGGATGCAATCATACTTTTCTTCCGCATGCTTGTAAGTCCAATTGAAAAACGAGACTTATCATTTGCATTCCACTTCAGAACAGGCTGACATTTGTCCTCGCTTCTGCATGCGAACAAATCATTGACAATGAAGCAATCAGAGGGTCGTAAGGCACAAAAAGAGCGAATAACACTTGCAGTCTGTTGCAACGGTGACGGCAGTGACAAGTTGCCACTCTGGATCATCAGAAGATTTCAGTTTCCGCGGTGCTTCAAGAACTTGAACAAGGAGAACCTCGGTTGCACGTACCGTTGGAACTTGAAGGCATGGATGATACAATTCATTTCCTCTAGTGGATCAAACGGTTTGACCTCCGGATGAAGGAGAGGAAAGTCTTGCTCATACTTGACAACTGTAGTGCTCACATTCATGTCGACAATGTTCCTAAGCTGCGTAACACAACCGTCATGTACCTTTTGTCAAACACAACGTCAAAATTCCAACCTTGCAATGTAGGTATAATTTGGAACTTAAATGCTTATTATCGCCGTCGGTTCAACAAGAAAATCCTTTTTGCATCTGGATTCAAACATTCCGAATCCAAAAAAAATTGACATTCTTGAAGACATCCAAATGGTCGTTGCAGCATGGACTTTGGATGTCAAGCCGGAAACATTTCCAACTGCTTTCACCATTGTCAAATCCATTCGGAGGACACTGGGCTGCCTTCGTATTGAAAGACATGTTAGAGCCAGTAGCTGAAGTCATAAGTGAATTAGAGAACCAGATTCGTCGGTTTCACGGTGAGAATCCTATGAACATTCGAAACCTACTGAACTACCTTGATGAAGAAATTGTGATGTACACGCCGACCGAGTAGTAGATATTCGCAAACCTGAAGGAGCCGGTTGTCAAGATTCTTGGTCATGAGGAAGAGTACGACATTGAACAGCTTTCAAAAATTCACCTTGACAATGTCATTTTCATGCTCGAAAAGCTTCAACACTTTTGGCTTTAGCAGAAGTGAGTCCATACGGAAATTCTTTTGTTAGTAAGAAGCATGATGGACGTTGCTCGCAGGATTTGAATTGAGATGTTGAAACAAATCACGTTAGATAGGTGTTTTTGCCAAGAAATAGGCCACAGTTGATAGATGTTTGCTTTCATTTTTACTAAGAAAATTGTCGAGACTGTCCCGATTTATTTCACCATTAAAGTGTGGAGTTTATTCCTAAGTTGCATATACACGAGGTCGGGACTGAAAGATTTTCATTCGGTACTGGAGGTTTTTTGAGTATTCGGTAGCGGAGGTTTTATTGTCGATTCATTTGCTGATTTTGCTACCGTTACATAATCAGCTTTCTTAATAAACTAAGCTACACACTTTTGCCAGATAGAACTTCAACTAATGCATCCACTTCCAAGTGTAAACACATACATTGGTTTAGAAGCACCGTTAGCATTAACGTAACCTAACAAGTACTTGGCATAATCCAATAAATCATCAAATAATAATTCATCATCATCATACAAAATGGAGTTAGAGTCAAAATGAAAATAACTAAAAACTATTAAGTTGAATAGGTTTATTATTGAGATGAGAATGAAAAAAGATATTTTTAATCTTCACTAAGATAATCAAACTGCATTACATCTTGTTGCAAATCAAATGATGAAAGCAGAGTGAAACACATTGATATGAGTTATCAATTTCTAAACATGTAATTTTTGAAACTATGATTGAGTTAGTCAAGATTGACAGTATATTCAATCTTACGGATGCGTTTATCAAAGTTATTTCTTTGAAGAATTTTAGAGACATTATGCTGCTTTGCAAGTTTTGCATGAGAATCACAAGTACACTTTACTAGCAATCTGAGCAAACTCTCTATATATTTTTTATTCGCTCATGTTTTGGCTACGGTTCAGTTATAGTCAGCTCTAATTAAGACATTAGATTTTCTTCTACTACTTCACATAGTATATATATAGATTATGGATGTCATTGTTCACTCAACATGTATTAACGTGGAGATTGTTAGGATAAACTCCTTTTGGTTGTAGACTACGTCTTGAGAAACTTGTTTTAGGGTTTGCACTAATTACTTACAACAACGAGATCTAGCTCCTTCTCACTTCCCTAAAGATTGTATGAGTCTCAGTTCATTACTTGATATATTCTTGTGAAGTAGCCAAAAATGAACCATGTTACATGTCACGTGTAAATCTTCGTGAATGTGTGAATTCTCGTGTTTTTGAAGCAAAAAAAAATTTGGTATTTTCAAAACTAAAAATCAATACATGGATTTTTGCTATCAATTCAAAACAGGTGATAAATCTGTTAGATAAGTGAATATTTTTTTCAAGTAGCTTTACTTTATTATTTTGCATAACAATGGTTAGAAATGTATATACAATTAGATTGAGTAATTTTGCAGCCATATCACAATGCACAAAACTCATATTTAAATAAAATTTATTTCCATTTGTGAGTTTGAACAATTGACAGAAAATAAACAATAAAATTTCCTTCAACACTTTTCTACTCATGAATATTCAAAACAATAAATTACTTCAAAGAATGTGAATATAAAACATTTCTTGTGACACATTAAATCATAATACAAACTAGTCAAGTTACAATATCTTGAAATGACAATACATCTATTATTGAATTTTTAAATTGTAAGTACATTGATACATGTTTTAATTTAGTATTTTAAAAGTTGTTTACATGTAGGATGAAAATTTTACAGTTATCAGAACATTATAGATTAATGCTTCATATCAAAAAAAAATTTATAAATTTATTTTCTTCATATTTTTTACTGTATTGAATTATCTTGAAATAAAAGAGGTCTGGAATATCATCAGTTGGTTGATCGCTTTATTTTCCTATGGCACTCCACATAAGTCTTGTATATGGGATAGATTTGTGTATCTTACCAAATCTAGAACATACTTGTATATCTCAAAGATACATCTAGGTTCTTCCACTTTTAACTTTCTCAACATGGCAATATTAGTTCTAAAATAATTAGAGCTTAACACAAATGGTATTGAATGAGGGAGTCTATCATGCATAAGATCACATTCACTTACTCAAATAGTTATGCAATCAAGTATGTCAATGCTATAGTCAGAAGACAGTGAACATACAAATGCATAGCGGCGTTACTAGGTGAGGATGATGAGTGCTATGTGACGTATGGAAGAGTGATTGCATCTCCATCTATATTTCATGTGAAATATCACGTAGCGTTCATCATCTGAAGTCAAAGTCGAGGTGACATGTGCTTCAGAGATGATAGAACTCATAGAATGAGAGTGTATATATATAACACCCAAATCTGGGAGTAGAAGTATTTGTCGAATTAGCGCATTCAATGAAAGCCTTATATATGAAGCTTTATGTTCTCAAATTGAAATATTCTCAATACCAATATTAAAGTGAATTCATTGATCTCCAGTTGAGAGAGTTGTTGACTCGATAACACATGTTGCAACAGTAGCAATGAAATGAGTGTATTCTCGATGCAACTTGAGCTACGCTGGCTTTAAACCTTTCTCGTTTCTTCACTCATTCTCCCGAGAGAAAGGGACTATCCACTTGAAAGCATGAAGGGGAGTGAGTGACATCATGCAAGGAGATTGTGCTGTCGGACGGTGTAGCAGATTAGGGACGGCTGAGAGCGTCTGATGTAAGAAGGTCCATGGATAGAGATAACACCGTTCAGCAACTCAGTGCCGAAATTCATACAGGCGCAAGACTGCCGAAATAAAATTCGGATTGGCCGATTGGCCCGGAAAGGGAGGGCCATGTCAGGAATACTGGAGTGGAAAGCTCGTCTCTTGGGAGGAGTCAGAAGCCAAAACTCAAGTAAATGCCATCTTCGTCTCTGCCATGAACAAGGCAGGCAGGCCATGTGTGCGCATTGAATTGCATCAATCGGGGCTCTTGCGAATTTGGCAGCGCTGGAGTCTGGACCCGAATGTCGAAGGATCCGAAGCGAAATTTTGTGGCCGACAAGCCAAACGAAAGCCACATCTACAACAACAGTGATACCGCGACTTGAAAAGAATCAGATGAAGGTGGAGGACAGTGCTCGAGCTTCCGTGCAAGCCCATGATCGGTCAGCGTAGCTACAGGCGGCAGTGCTTTGAGAACAGAGACCGCCTTTAGAGCCTCCATTAGATGGGAGATAGCTGCAAGCATCTGCAAGCGCCTATGAGACTGCCATTCACTGCCTGCCCTGCCCTGCCTGCCTGACTGTTACCGATTGCAGATAGCGCTGTAGCTGTTCGTTCTTTGACTGACTGTTGACACAAATTGCACTGCTCTGCGTTGCCTTTACGATGGCCGCTGTCGATGTTGCCGTTGGCGAGGGTTCAGATACTTCCCGCGTAGGCTGCTCAGAGTATCACGACCGCAATAGTGCTGGAAAACGCTTGCTTCTGCCGCTGCTGCGGCTGCTGATGAACACTAATTCTTTCACGATGATGCCAGACAGTGTTTCAGACACTTCTTGTAGGCCGGTGGGAAACATGGAGTTTAATCAATCCCACGGCGCCCCTCGTACGAATCACAGTTGAATGGAATCAAGATCGTGGGGATTTGTTTGTATGAATGAATGAGTCGCTGCCCTGTTCATCTGGCGGTAGTTTTCTCAAACTTGCAAAGCGTGGACCCCAGACACCATCTTCTGACTCATCGATGTTGTCAACATGGGACATAGATAGACTGGATTGCTGTTCAGAAAGACACATTTTCCGCCACGGGTTGCATCCGTTTGAGTAAACGTCACAGCTTCCGCAGGTTTCTCTCCGCTGCCAAATATGCAAGTCCAGTAGCCTATCCTATCCACCTCAAGAGCCTTTCCCAGACTCAGCTGTTTTCTCGATGTGAGTGTTACTTAAATCTTCTTCATTGGGGCGCTCTATGCTATGCTCTGCTGTGTCTGAGTGTGTGTCTGTTTCGTCACGATGCAGCCTTTGGGACCGAATCGCTGTCATAAGCATTGTCATCATGGTTCGAGATTGAGTGGCCCTTGAAAAGATTCATGTGGACCAAGGTATGAACCATTTTCCTTGAAGATGTTCAACGAACCTGCAGGGTTTTGCCTGAGTGAATTTGGCCAGGGGTTGGAATTTCAAGGAACTTTGATGGACTTCTGACTCGACAGACAGAATTGCCCGTGTCCAAGCAAGGGTTGAGGCGGGCTGGGGGCTCGACGGTCAGACGCATCCATGGCCCTGCGACAGCCCGCCATGTGTAGGAAGGATCTGATTTATAGCAGCAGTTTAGGGTTATTTCTGAAGATGTTGGCAGGAGAAATGTTGTACCAGGAGTATATGTATCTAATGGGTTGACATTATAATCCCAGTGTGTGCGGAATGTAGATCACCAGCTGTAGGGGCGGGGGACTAATTATTCTCTGCTCTGTACCGGAAGCCGGACTGTCTCGTCTTCAATGCTCATACTTTCTGCTGCTGGTTGAGAGGGAGGGCTGCGATTCGGGGAGAGTTCTCTTCGGGCTTTAAAAAAAATGAAGAATGGGAGAAGAACAGGTTTTGCTCAGACACCGTGGGGAATTCTAGGCTACTAAAATACAGGACCGGGAATCTGTCACGCGCTCTTCAATTCCTTTGTCAGAAAATGCTATAGCTCTGACAGAGCCCTGTCTAAGGATCAGATTATCTCTCATTCCTGTCAGCGAACGTAAATGTATGCGAGACATGCATCTCTTATCTTTTCCTTTCTTCTGACTCCTTTGTTCTTGGAGATACTGTTTCTGCCACATTGTCGTTGATAGTTACAGTCCATGTCCAGGCCTCTTTGATGAGCATAGTACTTGGGATTTAGAACCTGTCGTACATACATTTTTCTACTAGGCAAGCATAAGGTCTACACAAATGGGAGTCCACTGCCAACGCCCATTCAGTAATGACCAGAGTCGTACTCTGACTTCCCATCTCATCCTGTACGTAAGCTGGATATGAGGAATTGGAATGATCGTTCTCACTACAGTATACGAGAGCCAGGCCAATAAGCTGTGCAGGATCTTTACTCCAAGAGCCGGAAATAAGCTTATTTTTGACCTCGATCGTGACCATGTTGGTGCCTTCGGTGGCTAGAAGCTCCATGTTTCATCGAGCCATAGTGCCACTTCCCAGTGTGCTTACTGTTTGAAACGATCGATGTGTGCAAAATAAATGACTCATCCATGTTCTTCGAGCCTTGTGCAGTGAAGCACGTAAGGAAGTTGGAAGCACTGCGGGTATTTTACTGGAAATGAGTCATGCGTCTCCAGTGTATGTTCACCCGCGGTCGTTTCTGAGCTATGATTCGTGACCCTGTGTGCGTATCCATGGGATATTATGCCATAAAAAGGGCCATTGACACATGATGTAGAGGTGAGAATACTGGCATTGATGGTTCTCAGGCATTGATGATCCAGTCAGAATTATGACCTCGATAAAAAATAAAGCGCAGGATCAGACGTGAGCTTCTGCATGTGAGGAGCACCTTCCGCTGAACACATTCTGACCTCGCCGGAACATCTCATTCACGATGCTTTCTTCCATCACCATTATCAGATGCTCAAAATCAATAAACCTATTCTCGAAGTGCATCAGGAGATGAATCTCTTTGTAACTTTTTCATATTGTGATCACAGCTGCTCGGACCGACTCACGGGAACATATATAACCCAAAACTCCATTTACACATGCCACATGAAGCGAAGCTCGTAGTGAGTGAGAAACCAACTCCTAGCCTTCGTCGAGTCAAAAATTGGAGGCCATCTTTTGGCCTGACTCTATATCTATGATGGAGGTTGCATGTTTACTATTAAAACTAAGCACGGTCTAGAATCAAGGCTACTAATAATCTCGTATGCCTAATCCTGTTTGTCTTCACCGCCCCTCCAGCATGGCCCGGGAGGACGTGAGATTTCTCCACCTTTGTGTGAAATGACGGATACAGGACTTACAAACGATGAAATATAATATACACTACCCTGAGACAGAGCTGAATTGTCTGGTGATTTTCTAAATCTCTGGTGAGAAGGTATATACTTTACTGAAGAATCACATTTTGCTCTACAGGGCTCGCTCCTGTTGTGAGAAGTAGGGCTTGTCTGATCTCTTCCGGGCCGACATCCAAGCCACTAAGTTGCTGCCAGTCAAAAAGTGTAGCAGAAGGTCAGATAAATGTTGCATGCCAGAGATGATTCGTTGCAGTTTTCAGAACTATTTGTTCCTCTGTTTCAGGCAGAACTTGATCATTTAGTGTTTGGAAATCACAAGTTCATCGATGGAAAATACAATACCTCTGCCCGGAAGATATCTAGAGCGAAACCGTTGAAGCAGCTAACAACTCCTTGTTCGACTTCAAGCCCGAGTCCATCCAGCGCACGCATGATCGAAAGTAAGAGTCCCGGTTTCCGTGCACACAGCATGTGAATGTTAAGTGCCTTGCCTTCCTCCTTCGCTGAGACCTCAATCTGAACATCCAGAGTGTAGAACTTTAGCTCTCCATGGCTAGATTAGCATGAAACTATTTCATGTTATGTGCAATGTAAGCAGGAGGAGTTGCAAATTTGTGAAATTTGAGCTTACCGTAGTGGGTGTTAGATCGGGGAAGGTTGATGGAGGCTCCTCCTTAACACGATATGCAAGAGCGGATGTAATCTGCATAGGTAGAGGGGCTGAAGGACTCAAAGGCGGAGGTTTGTCAGCAGCTGTGTCCCCGTCCAGCTCCGCATGCAGCTCATGAATCTTTGCAACAAGATCCCGCAAGTAGTCGATTGCGTCCCCAAGGATTGATGCTCTGTCCATCTATAGTTTTGCACAGTGCAAGAGTTTGAGAAATCTATCATTGGGAAGTCGGGCCCAGATGGGCTGCAATCACTTTACAGGTACAACATTAACGCAATGTCGATACAAGCAGATTTTTTTCATCTCTCACATCTCCTTTCAATTCAAATCCTTCCCCGTTTCATGAGACTCTGAAGAATCATTTAAAGCCAGAGATGCAAACTGGAAACCTCAAGAAGTTTCAAGAAGTTTGCATGAGGTGACTCAAAACATCCGAGAATGAGAACAAATCCTCGAGTCATAATTTTTAATCTGCATTCTTTCATCTCATTTCGTCTATTCAATCAATCAACAAACCAGTCAGAAATATTGAAGTCAGGAAGAAATTGGAAAAAGTTGAAAAGAGAGGTGAAGAACTGCTCACCTTTGTAATTTTGGGTACCACAGATCGAAGCATGTACAGTCGATCATTCAATTTCTTCCGTCGCCTCCTTTCTGCCATGAGATTCTTCGCAGGCAAGCCTTTTTTGCCCTTGCCCTTCTCCCCAGAGTGACCACCACTTTGTAGCATACCTTGACCAGCGGCAGCACCGTCCATGCCAGCTGCATCGTCCTCGTAGAGCATCCCAGACACATCTCCGCTTTCGTCCATATCGTCGTCATCTTTGCCGTCATCCTGGTCTCCATCGGCCATTTCGTCCGAGCCAGAGGGCAGTGCTGGGGGCCGCTTGTCGACCCTGGACGCCGGGGACACGGCCTTCTTCCCCTTGCTCGGATTTTTTATGTTTGGGCTCTCTTCGTCGGGCATATCTACGGAGGAGTCATTGGAAACTGAAGTGACGAGCTGAGGGTGCGTCTTCAGCTTGGGGGATATCGATCCGCCAGAGGACGAGACAGTCCGCCGTAATGCTGCTCGCTTTTGGAAAATTGTCTGCTGAGAGCCTGCAACCGTGGCTGTCACGGCATCGGGGCTCAGAACTCCAGCCTTGGACCGGAAAGGAGGTTTGTCCACATTCAAGAGAGGAGAAGTGCTCTTGATCGTGTTGCCTGCAATGGTCCTGCCCAGCGAGTTGTGGTTGTTGCTGTTGAACATGTCAACGGAAGCAGCGCCCCTGGCCATGCTCGAGCTGAGGCTCTGAGCGAAATTCGCGTCGATGGGAGGTCCCGAACCGCAGCTGAAGGCGTTGCTTATTCCACCATTGAGAAAACCGCTGAGATTCTGGCCGAAGCTGCTGCCGCCCAGTGTGGGTCTGGAACTGATGTTGCTCAAGAGCATGCTCTCGTTAAGGCTGTTCGAGTTCGAGTGCAAGTTTGAAAATCCAGAATTTCCGGCGACCAGGCCTGAGTTTGGAAGGATGCTCATGTTGCTTCCTGAAAATTGATTGTTGCCCGCGAGGGGACTGCTGGTGCTGAGGCCAATTTGACCGTGATTGTGAAGGATGGCGTTCCCGTTGTGGCCTCCTACTACTCCTGCTCCTCCTCCATGGGGCCCTGTGTGACCGAAGCTGTTGAGCGGACCAGTGCCTGAAGTGTCGAAAGGGAGTCCTCCTCCCTCCATGAAATTGGATAAGTACGATCTATTGTCTGCAGAGTTGAAATTCTTGCTCGCATTGCGCGAGAGAAAATTGAGATGAGTTGAGTCTAAGCTGTAATGGGACGAAGTCATGGGCTCGGATTGCGTCGCCAGAGACGACGCAGCATAAGAAAGCTCCTTCATTTCATCCATCAGCGAGTTCTCAGTGGTCATGTACCAGTCTTCCTCCAAGATCCCCTTGGAGTAGGTCGAGCTCGGTATATCCGACAGCCCCTGGGAGAAACCGATGCTCGATGGCAGGTCGTCCTGCAATCCAATCCACAGGCCAAAATCAGCAACCCGGGGGCGGAACGCATCTGAAATTCGTTCGAAATAAAGAGGGTCTGCGTCATTCGAACGACGGTCAAGCTGAAGGACGACCTGTCGGAAGACTGGTTCAAGCGCGACTCCTTTTCCTATGCCTCACAACAATATACAATCTCCTGGCAACTCTAGGATCTTCTACCAAAGCTACACGACGACGCTCTGACAGGGGCAAGGCGCGATGTCCCGACCGCCCGACTCTGCAATACTCTTCGCGGAGATCAGTCGCCGACTGGGCAGATCGCAAAATTAAAGAGATCCGCACTCACCTTAACCAGAGAATGTTCTTGGGTCATTTGGTTCTGCTGGCACGGTGCCGGTGTATGCCTCCACCTTGGGTTGGGGTCGTCTTCGAGGAAAGGTATAGATGATGGCAGCCTGCTCAGCACAAAACGCAATATTTTATTACCAGCTGTAAACTCGGAATGCGAATTCTGCTCTAGATCCACCGCTACTACCTACAGTGTCTGCCATACATCAGACTGTCCGACGAGGTGCAGCGAAACGGGGAGAAGGAGAGGAAGCGACGGGGACGATGTAAGAGTTGCTGTATCTTTCGGGACTCGGGAGTACTTTATCGACACTAACTTGGAGCGAGGGTGGTTGACTTAGGAAAGCTACTAATGTATTTGCTGGTGGGACCGATCTTCATCATCTCATATACTCGGACAGATAAAACATGTGCACATCTATCAGCGAATTTAACGACAGATTCTAGCTCGGGTCAAACGGCGAAATTATACGTAGGATAGATAGAAGGCTGGCGCTCAGCTGAGTCGAATGCAATGGAAAGGACGAGAACGCACAGCACATTCAGAAGTCAATCAATCAATCAATGACCATCGGAAGTTCCTCCATTCATTCATTCATGCGTTGCATTCCAACAGAAGGCACGGTGCATTCAGAAGTCGAGCAATCACCATCGGACGGTAATCCATTCATTCATGCGTTGCATTCCTAGAGACGGACTCGGTTTCTTGGTCTCGTGGAGCTGCGCAGATAGAGTACCTCAAATTCGAGGAGCTACCAGCCATCCAGGCCGAGGCCCCGCTGACTCTGGTCGAAGCCATTGCGGTCGAGCACCGAGAGAGTGAGCGCCTTCGGTCGACGAGGGATGCTCACAGCGTCCACATTGTCATTGGCCCACGGCGCTCTCTCAACTGCCGCCTCCGCCTCTGGGCGCAAGTTGCTTCGAGCGAGGTGGGTTCTGTTGCGACGATTTCGTCTCACACCAACAGCGTTGCGGGGCCGAGACGTTCGTCATCAGAGGAGTACTTGTCTGAGAAAGCCAAGCCAAGCAGCGGCGGCAGCAGCAGCAACAGCAGCCAGACGGCGAGGGGTTGAAGTACTCTCGGCAACAGCTTGTGCCGCTTCCGAACCGAACGAACTGATCGAGATGGGCTGCAATTGCCTGGTCCTCCGTGATGAATCAAGTCTCTATCTGAACTGCTGCCTTGAGCAATTTGCGAGGAGCTTTCAGGTTCCCTCCTTCTGACACGCATTTGAGTAGGTAATACCTTGTTGCGTACGGTCACCGTGCTCAATAAATGAAGCTGTGCTCTTATTCCCGTCGCACTGTTTGCTAACTGTCGAGCTCGCGAGATTGTACTCTCGCTTCCCCCCTCCCCGGCCCTCGCTCCCCTCCCCTCCCCTCCACCCCCTCACTGCGTCTCTCTCTCAGACCAGCGCGGCCACTGCCTTCCCCGCTTCCGCCTCAGCCTTCCCGTTACATTCCTGTCGTCGAGCTTGACGATGAGCGACTACCCGCAAGGAAAAGCCACCGGATCCCTGCGCCATGTTACGCCGAAGCTGGAGTCGACGGGCATTCAGTGTGGACATTCAGTGGAATCTTCGAATGGCCTCGGACATACGTGGCTGCCGCTGCAACTAATTTTTGCATCTTCTCGTCCCCCGTCTATCTATCTCTCCCTCTCTCTCTCTCTATCTCTCTATCTCTCTATCTATCTATCTCTCTCACTATGCTCAGATATTTGGCTCTGGCTTGTCACTCTCCAGGTTCAATGCCAGCAGCAGCATTGAGCATTGGAAACGGATTCCAAATCTTGTTCTATTTTACCGCTGGCGTGGTCTGTCTAGTTTCACCTCGTCATGCACTTGCGAGGGGAGGGGCCGCCAGTCGACAAGTAAGTAAGCAAGTAATGATCCCGTCAGTCATCAGAGTGAGTGAGTGCAGGGCGGGCATAGGCATAGGCAGCTACGACGGTAGCAGCAGCAGCTGCTGCTGCTCTCTCTCTCTGGCTCTGTCTGTCCGTCTGACCGCGTCTCTCCCTCTCTCTTCCTTCTCCCTCTCTCTACCGGTGCGGACAGGACCTCCTCTGCACTGGAACAGCTCTCCTCCTGAGCTTGCTCTGACTCCTGACTGCGACTATCCGTCCCTTGCTTGCACAATGCCTCTGCTGCTTCCTTGTGATGTTGGCCGATGTAGGATCTCTCTAGAGTCTAGGCCTGCCTCGCGCGCTCTCTATCTCTATCTCTCTCCTCCACGTACGGGAAGCCCACTTCTCGTCAAGGTACATAAATACGGATCTCCCGAGCTGAACTACCAAAGTGTAAGTACCGTACGTCCGGGGCTGGGCTCGCAGGGCAGCCCACGGCAGCCCCTTGGCCCGGCCCCTCGCCCAACGGACCCCACTACCCACTAGTAACCACTGTTTTACTGTGTATAATACTGCATCTACTACCGGTACGCGTCGAGCGCTGGTTGTTACGATTCCTTGTGTCTAAGGCAGTCCTATCCTTGCAAAGCCTGGGGATATCATTTCTCTCATGCCTCCTTTCCGTGCAGATTCAAATCTTGTCCTTATGTCTCTCCCTTCTCTCTCTCCCTCTCTCTCTCTCCCCTTCCCACACTCGCAGTCGCCTCTGTTGGTCCGTCAGGCGATGGCCGTCAGTCAGGCACGGCACGGCGGGCCGGGCCGGGCGGGGGCCCTTCAGGCGGTGAGTCCTGCTCCCTTTTTCCTTGATACAACTTGGAGGAACAACCGTTTTTAGCTCCTTCGTCCGAGTGCTAGGACTCTCTGCTCGGAAAAGCCAGCAGCAGCAGCGTTCGGGGTGGACTCGGTAGGGGCAGAACCCACGGAACTGAACTGCCATTCAGGTCATAATTTACTAATCGCACCAGATTCCTTCGATGAACTTTGTCTAATCATTCCTCTCTCCCCCTCTCTCTCTCTCTCTCTCTCTCATAGATCCCGGACCGAGTGTACAAATATACATTCCAGGAAATTGTTCACAACTGTTTTCTGGAGGGAGGGAGGGAGGGAGGGAAAGAGGGAAGTCCAGGTCGAGTCCACCACCTCCTATAATCGCTACAGAGTCCGGGATGGCGGGGGGAATTGTTGTTGTGCGTCGCATCACTGTGACCCGGTGGTACCTGCGAACCTCGGTGGTGGAAGCAGGCTAGAACGTCTACAAAGCCAAAATATAGGGATGAGAGGACGAGAGGAGGATAGGAGGAGAAGGTGCGGTGAGATGCGAGAGGCGGTCAGGCAGTTTCGGTACATGACGCTGCTGCTATGGACACTGTTGCCAAGACTGATCTGATGCGGAAGCAGCACGCGCATCATTTTTTTAAGCTAGAGTAATAATCGAGATATATTAGGCCTAATATGCCTAGATTTCCCCATGTTCCTGCAGTTGGGGACAATCCATCATTTAAAATGTCCTCTACAATCCCGCTATAGTTCATCTCGTTCCTCATTGTTAGTACCTTGTCCAGGCCTTGGGGACATTGCTTCCCTCAACTTCCTTCAAACAACACACACAACTGTCATATCCTTTCCAACATTCGAGCTCCTTCCCTGAATTATCTCCTAGCCGTGGATGCGATCCTACGAGTCCTACCTGTAATCCGTTCCTAGGACTTGGCCTGTCTCATGGCTAGTCGATATAACTGATGAACGGGCAAGCGACCCATAGAGCGTAGCCCCAGTCAGGCGGGAGTGACTCAGGGCTTCGGACAGTACAGTTGTATTGTCCATTTCCTGGAAACTTCAACATAACTTTTTCCAATGTCGTTCATCATCATGATCGTAGATCGTATGTTCTCTGGAGTCTGGACTGAGCCAGGCTTTGCTCCAGAGCATCGTGCGAAGCGTCCCGTCGAGTCAGTGCTGCAAGTAGGAATGTAGCGTAGTCGTCTGGGCTACGGTCAGGGTCAGCGCTCGACGAGGTACTACTGTGAGCAGCGCTAGCCCGTACTTCCATTCGCGGCATCAAGATTCAGGATTTGGGATTCAGGCCTCAGGAGTCCGGTATTCCTCGCAAAGTCGGACTCCGTCCTTGGGTCTCCTAAAGTCCTGTATGTTTCATACCGTCGACAGTACGGCAATTCTGTATAACAGCTCGTCGTTTCTGGAGCTGGACTCGGCCCAGGCCCACAGGAACTCTCTGGAGGTAGCGGGAGACAGACCTTGTCCTGCTGCCCCTCCTGCTCTTCGCCTCGCCTCTCCTCACTTCACTGAGCTCTACTCGACTACCAACATTCTGCTTCGTCACTTGCAGCACTCCTGCGGCATGGCTTCGAGGTGGAGCTCGCTCGGCCTTCCTGGCTTTTTGGAGGACCAGCGGGTACAACGCAAATCTGCACCATAAATCTCCCCCGGCATCTTTCATTTCAATAAATCATTTCAGATCTTTTTCTTAAATAACCATATCTGCTACCGAATTGACCCTGAAATGTATTCACGCCCACACGAGACCACGTATACTGTATAGTACAGATCTGTATCACGTTCATGCGCATGTCTACCATGATATATGTGTCGTATGTATGGCCCTTAGAGGATATGAGAAGCTTGAGGTGAGGGCCAGGCACAGGCACGAATAAAAGAAAAGATTTCCCCAGCGAGACCTGGCAGCGGAGCCGGATGGCCTGCCGTCTATTTCCTTCGGGTCTGTGAGCACAATCAGTGCGCCACTCCTCGTGTACTACTTAGCCCTGTAGCTGCGGAGCAATGGCAAGGCTCTCTCGTCTCCTCTCCTGCTCCTCAGCGCAAGGATTAGCACATGGCAATGCGACAGTCGAGCTGCCACTGTATGGTCCTCCTTCCCTCACAGCAAGCTCCGGGATCTTGTTTACAGAGCGATGACGCTATCGGAATTCATCCTTGCCCGTGTAAGAGCTCTTACACGGGCAACGTTGCCGAAATATCCACATCTCGCCTGTCGCTGTTTGCGACTCCCGATCATGATGAGAACTGACGCTGTGCATGATAACAAAGAGAAAATCTTCATTGCACCGTCGTAACGCTTTTCCTTTACTGAATTTCGCCTTGGCCTTTACTACACGATGCGCGAGCACCGAACCAGGCTCTATCCGGGAGCGTCTGGAGTAATTAATTGAAGCTCGGCCCAGCTCGAACTCATGCGGCTATTGTGCCGGTGGCTTGAAGGTCGATACAGATGCGGAAGAACCACCAGGAGGAGGAGAAGAGGTGCAAGAAATTACCGGATTTGGTCCCGGAGGATATTCGACCACACAATCACCATCACGAAAATGCATGAGATAGGAGGAAATGGAAAGGCAACTATTTGAGAGCTCGTTCCAACTGGCAAGGCCAGCTGGACCGATGTTGTTGACGCCGAGGTGGAGTGCACATCCATGTCATATCACAATCTTACGCTTTCCAGTCAAAAGACCAAAAGGTCCAGTAAAAAGCTGGGTGCTCGAAGATTCTACTCCGGACAACAAAGGTTTCAGGTACTACACACGTAAAATAGATGGACATCGATATTGGTGCAACACTTATTGTAGCCATGACTGACCACTAGGATTTCTCAGAGATGCAGGCAAGCTGCACAGACTCTACGAGTCTACCTCCCTCTCATAGTTTCGATTCATCTAAACCCCTCGCTAGCTCCCTCGTCCCTGTCTCCCTCCAGCTCCTCGCTACACTAGCTACGAGATACACTTCCTAACAGATCTTCCCTGGTGCTGATTCACAAGCGTTCAGGCCAATTGAACGGATCCTCCGTGATTCACACCCAGAGCTTCCCGGACGAGTTCTCCTCCTCGTATTTTCCCTCCCCGTGACTTGACTCCGCCCTGGTCCTTCCTGCCCCTGCTCCCCTCGGGACTGAGTCCGTGAAAAAGTTCTCAGCAGTCCACGTCGACTCCGGTCCAAATTGCACGAAAATCAGTCCCCAATGGTACGACTACGTACAGCTTAGATTACTCCTGTACAGTATCCGAAATGCCTGCCCTGTCACAGCCCCAGACCCCACCCCATCACATCTCTCCCTCCTTCCCTCCCCTCGCCCTCCCTCGCTCTGGACTGCTCTGATCCCCCTCCCTCGCTCGTCCCGTCCCCTCCTCGCGCAGCGTCAAGCTCGCCCTGGATAATGTTCTCTGGGCGTGAATGAAACCGTGATCATTTTCCTTCTCGCAGCCGCCTCGCTTCGCTTTGCCAACCCATCGAGCACAGTCTTCTGGGGCCTCCTCCTGTAGGACAGTCACCATTTCCATCTTCGACGCGGCACTGTCACCGCACTCACCCTCCTTTCGAACCCCCGCCCCCAATCTCAAACAAATATCGCCGCCCCGCACCCCTCCCTCCCTCCCTCCCTCCCTCCCTACCCCGTATCCGGTAGGGCCAGCCAGCCAGCCGGTCGGTCACTGGACCATCCATCCATCCAGCGGGCGAGCCAGCGGGCCAAGCGAACATTAACGAACCACAGGACGAGGCCTTCGTCTCTTTCGGCGGCGACGCCCGATCCTTGTCGCGGAGTTTACCTCGCGACGATTGAGGAGCTCGTTCCGGGCGTGCCCAATCATAAGACGCTCTTTCAGAACACGTGTACCCGCTTCGATCAGCAATTAGGGACGGCCTCTCCTCCGAGGTCAGGGGCTCACGCCGGCCGGCCGCGTCGTCGCGAAAGACAGGAGATCCGTAGGGAGGGAGGGAGGGACCCGACAGATTTCTCCCGACGCTCTTCTGCTCTTCCGGTCCTTCTTTCTGTCCCACAGGCGTCGCCTCCTCGAACGCCGGTCGGTAGCTCCTGGTCCCCGGGAGCCCTCGTCGCTCTCGAACAGGGAAAGTCCCTGTTTTCTGCCCGTCCGTATAACGATATTACCTTGTTCCTTGTAAGAAGTCCTCCGCTCGTTACCCTCCGGCCACGTGCCCCGCTCTCATTGCTCGGAGCTTCCCATCTACCCATTTACCCATTTATCGATATATTGCAGCCACGTGCCGGCCTATCATTGCCCCGTCCATTATTACCGACGTTTCTCGCGAACTCACGCTCCCCACAGACACCGCAGATCCGTCCATTCCACTCCATCGACGGTGCGTCTTCTACTGGGCCCTCGCCCGGCCCTTCCCTTAAATCGTATTAACAAGATCGTCTTTACATCGAAGCACTGATTGATCGGCGATCGAACCGTCGGATCTTGAAGCAAACGCCTCGATTGGCACCGTACAGCGACAGACTAGTGCGGAGCTCGCTGTAGCGCTGGCGATGGGAATCCATCCAAACTATGGC